TACTACTACCACTACTAGTACTGCTAGACGCTAGACATGCTACAGTTTTGCTACTCGTAACCCTCCTTCTCTTAGCACTACCACTGTTTGCTGTTGCACTCGCCCCACCACGTGGAATCGAACACTAACCACTGCAGCTGCCCCGGTCCGGCGTGCTCGTTGGCATGTTGTCCGGAAGCAGACAAAGCGGCCCTCGCTTCTGCCTTCAGCTGGAAGCATGTGGAATGTACGTTGGGAAAAGGAGCTTCCGTGCTTCAGTAGCACGCCACAAGTTCCAAGTCATTACGGCACAGACTTGAATTTGCTTGCTGCATGCTCTTGTGGCTCCGACAGCACAAAATGGTTGAATAATGACGGTGTGGCATGGTGCGTGTATTGTCGCAAGCGTTCGCAGTGAGTTTGGGAACCTTCTGAAACAGCAATGACTCTCCCATGGTTTGGTGGCCAATGCAAAAGGTTCGAGATGTGAGACTTTAAAGACTCAAACCGAAAAATCCTCGAGTCACGTTGATGTGCACCCATGGCGCAAGGGGGCGAACCGCAGTTGCATTACCACTCGAGCCTTTGACACAAAAAGAGGTCCTGCCAGCCCAACTCAGTGATTGCAGTCATCCAGTCCAGCCCTTGAAACTCAAAGCCTTAACTGCAGCTGTCGTTGCCTTGTACCCCCCGAATAATTTGTGCACTTCCACACATTGACATCACATCTGCCCCACATTGGACTCTCCTCGGATTGTCAAGCGGTTTCGGATGCAGTTAAGGGTTTTTGGACTTTAGGTTCAGGCTTGTTCTAAATGGTTTGACGTGCTCGATTTGACGTGCACGGAAACCCACGGCATACCAGTTCTGAGACGAGTCTGTGTGTGCACGGCTGTCGTGAGTCTATTCGAGAGACCATCAGCTGGCAGCAGAATCCCGAACGCTCCAAACACCCACGAACCAAAGACAGAGCCAAACAAGTGGCATTTGTAGAATTTCCCCAACATACGCTGTCTGGCTTTGCTTCCCGTCCGTGGGCCTGCCACCGCAGTCGTCATCGCACTCCGGCACATCGATAGTTGAACAACTCGAGAGCTTTGGAATGGTGGAGGTTTGTTTCGGCCCTTTTGTTTGTCCCTCTTGTTTTGTTTCTGGTACTTTCTGGTTTTCCTCAGGAGACCTAGCGTACGGGACTGGACGGGACGGGAGACGGGATGACGGGATGCGAGTCCGCCCTACAAAACAGAAACCCCAAGCAATGATGTGGGGAAAAATGCACTTTCCTTTCGGAACTGTTGGTGGAGTTTCTGCAACGCTAGCCTATTTACAACCCGAGATTGCCCAATTCCAGTAGGATCCTCGGGACTTCACGAAAGTTGAAAGCTCGTCGGGCCTCCAAGGACGCACCCTCGACGGCGCCGCCTGCGGTCTTCGGGATGTGGATGAAGGACAAGCACGACTTTCCGTCCTCTTGGTCGCGCAGCAGCTTTGTGGACAACACATATATAAGGGTTAGTAAGCCCAGTTTTCGTGCGCCGTCGCGCTGCGCCATTGTAGGCACATGCCCCCTGTCGTAGTGCTTTAATGCGGTATAAATGCAAGCACGGAAATCAAACACATCGTCATAACATGGGCAACAACGTGGCAGCAGCATGCAGCAAGAACCGACAAGAACCATACAGCCCCTGCACTGTCGCTCTGATCTCACACTTGTGTTTCGGTGCACGCCGATAGTCCGACCGTGTGCCCCTGACCAGACATCGAAAGCATGCAGCGACTGGTTCATTTGAAGTCTGTGATTTGACAATGAAAAGACGATGAAACAAGGGTTGGTCGGGTGGGTAACGAAACTCAAACGTATCCATCTGTCAATCTGCTTTGTTCACGATGGCCTTCACCATCTCTGCGGCTTTTGGCGAAACATCTCTGAATCCTAGGGACTTGACTGTGTCAACTTTCACGCGAGACGGCTCGTCGGCGAGGTTTGCTGTAGAAGAGACCCCGGGGGACTCCAGGAATGTATTCAAAAACTGACCTCGTTGAGATACCTGCAATGTTCCACATAGATTTTTACATATATACAAATACTACAAATTATATACATATATAAATATATATAGATAGATAGTTTTTTGCATGTTACTTCATTTCCGTCTATGCCAGTCTATTCAAAGGAATGCACAATGCAGAACAAACAACGACAGTAAATGCACGCAAACAGAATGCGCGGTCTCGTCTTTTTCATCGAGTGGGGTGTGTCACGGTGACTTCGAACCATGCCAAGGATACGGATGCACACACCCATGAGTCACACCACACGAGTCCAAACGAAATCATCCGGGGTCACCTCGAACACTGAAACATCATAAGCAAAATCCGAAAGCTCAAGTTGGTCCTTGGCCCTGGGCAGCTGCACCATGGAAAGCACATCCTGGGCCTCGCCCACTCGAAGCATACACGAAAAAGAGCACTGCCTTTTGAGGTTCAACGTATCTTAGAATCTTACATGTGGGTTCTCGGCTCTACAAGGAATCGTGCATGCTCCTGCTTGGAATTTTGGGGATGTGTCGAACGAGCACTCTGAAGACTAACAGCGGGATTCGCCTGACGCATGCACCTCGACTGTCAAACCCCTTAATGCCCATTCAAACTCATTCAAAAAACATCCACAAATCCCTAAAGCCTTTCAACCGTATTGTCAAGCTGTAAACCCCGCAATGTACACATCCCTATTCACCTTAGACCTCTAAACCGTTCAACTGAACCCTATTCTTCTCAATCCGGCGCTTGTCTGCAAGCCAGCCTGGCAGTGGCTCACCGCTTGAGCTGCAAGAAAGAAGTAAAGGCCAACAGAGTGCATTGCTTTCAGGTCAGCTAGCTACTCCCGCCATATGGTAGGTCAGTTTCGGTATCTTGGGCCGTCACCAAAAGCTCGAGATTAGATTCACGCCATCCGCGGAAACAAACTGAACTAACAGTTGTAAGACACTGACGCATCCAGCGCTTCTGGTCCCTTTTGCCAAACATCATTGGGTAGGTATTGATGGTTCCGTCCCAAAGTGATCGTTCAAGGGTCGAAATGCGAGCAATGGGTGATGCAAGCAGAAAACAACCGGCAACTAGCAACAACAAAGGGCTGTCGTGCCGCTCACTATCCAGGATTCCCTTCGCACAACTTAAACCCACGCAGCTACTTTTCTGTAAATTTCTCATACAGAAACAAAGCTCGCTTCGCGTTCGCCGTCTTTACCTAAACTCCCAATAGCAAGAGTAAAAAAGCACGCTAATCAAAATTTCGGCATTGGCCCTGTGTGCAATGGTTTGGAGAAAAGGCCCAATCAACATTGAACATCTAAAACATGTGGATAGCCGGTTGGAGCGCAGGTTGGAGGTCCAATCCTGGCATTTCGTGGGCAGAGCTCTCTCTTGCGAAAAAGACGGACTACAACCAAGCCCCAGCAAAGCACTCAACCAAGCACAACACTCGGACAGAGTCTTCGTTTTGCCTCACTCGGCCACGCAGTTCCGGTCTTGAGCCAAACGTAGGCACAAAGTCTTGCAGCAAACTAAAGGCGCAAACTACCGACAGGTGGTTTGGAGTTCTAAACACTTCCTCCAAGCAAAACGGCTCTCAGGTACTACCAGACTCCTCTAAAAACGTCCGAAAGCGAAGGAATCTACAGAGACTACAGCACTAAAGCGAAAAGTGCCCTCTCACACTCCAAGTGGAAGGAAACTAGCAACCTGTTCTGGTTTCCACAAGCTTAAAAGAGCGCTTTTTTTTTCTACCAGCGTCACCTCCGTACTGGTGGCTGGTGGGACTTTGCCCGTAGCATCAGCTCCTCGCGGCAGCTTACCAGCCGGGTTCGTTGCTACAGGCACTAGTTTGCTGGCACCAGTCTACTGGAAAGGTGGACCTGGAGAGTCCAGGGCATTTTGGCTCCTGACACCAGTACTGGTTCACTAGGATCTTGTTTTCAAGGGTTCACCAGTGTGCCACTGTGCCACCAGTGGCCGGAGGCGAGGCCGCGCCACCGATCATTCCTTTAGGGCGCCCCTCTGCAGTCACATAAAAGACCGATCAGGCCAATTCAGTCTTTCAGCCTTGGCTTGCCACCCTCAACGCCGAGGAGAAGAAGAAAGTTTTGCGACTCGTTGCAGAGTCAGTCCTTACAGATGCATCTTCTTAACAGCCGACGGCCCCAACAGCAGATCTCGCACCGGCTTCGTCGTTAGCATCGTCGTTTACAACTGGCGGTGCTGCAGAAGCTGCGCCTGGAGTCGCAACCCTGCTTCCTCGGCCCCACACCGCGCCAGCGCCCTGCGACAGGAACAGCGCCCTCGCTGGCCCACTCAGCCAAAGCTCGCTTCCATGACGACGCCGACACCTCCGCTGGCTTCGCCAGCAACTCCGCAGGAACTGCGACCCAACTCGGCTCCAGGCGCCCGTTCCAGCGAACACGCGTCCAAACCGCCTTATGGTCGGAGACCCGAGCGGCGCCGAGCAAAACTTGGGGCTGAAGCTGCTCCACGAAGACGCCGTGGTCGATACAGCGCCTTCCCTCCTAGCGGGTGGGAATCCACCTCCCCTCCGAAGCCGCGCAAACTGGTCCCAGCCGAGACAGCGGATTCTCATCCGGCTCGAGATTAAAATCCCCGAAAAAGAACACGTCTTGGCCCCGGCCCTGGCCGCCTAGCCCACACAGGCGGCCTTGGGCGGGTCTCCGACTGGAACTGGTGCTGGAGTAGGCTCCTCGGCGGGCTCCGCCAACCGTGGCAGAAGATATCTGGTGGAGGCGGCATGCCGCGGAATGCTGACTTGGGCGCCCTGGCCCCCTGTGGGCGGTAAATAGGCCGTTGTATAAACGCCCAGACTTCCAGGCGGTTGAGATGCTTGTCGAAACTGATTGACTCGGCTGATTTCCAGAGCATAGGCAGGTCGTGATTGTAGCAGGCCAGATCGGCGAAATCTGCATAGGCCACCGCTTTCCCCGTGATTTTGTATGGGCAAGGTGTTCCGCCTGGAGCCAAGACTTGTCAGGCTCCTGTTGGGGATTTGGAACATCTTGCCCAGGCTCTTCGATATGCTCTGGAGCTGGCTGGGCTGGGGTAGGCGATGATGAATCCTGGGAAAGCAAAGTTTCAGGTATGTCTTCCTGGAAACATCCCTGCTAGACTTCATACCACCTAACTGGTTGGCTATTTCTTGTTGGCTGAAAATACTCTGAGGGGCCGAGTCCGAGGCTATGGGAACGTCTGCCCCCAGGCAGACCCGGCACAGCCTTCTCGTCTGCCTGTTCTACAGCCAATTGCCAAGGCACCAAGCCCAGCCGACCCGGACTTTCTCATCAACCAAGCCAATGGGCAACGCCTCAAGATGGAAGATATAAACTCCAACGTATGGGAGCTCTCGGAGAATGAGCTTGACCCTCGCCTACAGCCTACGTGTACTGGTAACAAGCCAGGGCCTTCGGATCAATTGTGATCTTTCAGGGGATGCCTATGGAGGCCATCTGCCAGAACACCCTGTTCGCCGTGGACTGGCCTGGTATACAGCCTACAAAGACGACCTAACCTGCGTCGTTGCCGATAACGGCCTATCTTGCTCTCGCCTCTTTCACAGCCTCGCCCCGCTGTCTCACGGCTTTGTACTCTACAGCCTACAACATGCTACACCTGAAAGATCGTGTGCGTGCGCAACGCGGTTCCAAGCCGAATGTGCTTCCGCTTAAGCTAGAGAAGCGGCGTGTTGCACCCAGTGGCGTCAGCTTCTAGAGATATCTGCGAGCAGACCAAGACAACGGGAATCTCGGACAGGTGGATCGACTTCTTTTCCTGTGAAAAGCAGAGCTCGCGCAGCG